ATTCAAATTTGAATTTGTGAAAACTAACTGAATACGAATCCAAACACCATGGTATTCGATTCGGTTCATTTCCACCCCTATCTCCCATGGATAATCTATTACTGGTGATAAACAGCAGTACTTGCTACTGGGAAGAATTGCTTCATAACTTCATGATTATTCAAAGTACGACATTACATGATCTAAATATCTTCCTAGTGGTACCATCAGCGTAGTGGGGAAATATTCATGCAATAGTTATACTAAAGACGAGTGCTACAAACTCTATAGGATCCTATTTGCCTTTCCATACTACACCCCAGATTCTTCAAAGTAAGCAGTACTTTCTAATTTCTATCATCCCGAGTCATATCTTCCTGAGAAGTTACTGATTGACCTGAAATTCAAAATCTGTTGCCATCTACAGGAAGCTAATTTGGACCGTTGATGCAAAATTTTGCTTGGTCCTTCGGATAAAAAAACGTTTAAACCAACAATATATATATATATATATGGAAAAGTGTTCCTAAGGTGACTCCTTAGGCCATCATCTAAGGAGTCGGGCCTAAGATCACATGATTGAGGGCCATTGTGGATGATCCGCTCCGTTGAACTTGATCTACATATTCTAAAACCCCAACACACCAAGTTTGGGGTGAACCCGTCGTCGTTTGACCATTCATCCACTCGTATCAATTTTAACGGTTCGAATGAATAGAACTTTTCACATAGCTCGACGGAGGGTCAAACGACGACGGGTTTACCCCAAACTTGGTGTGTTGGGGTTTTAGAATATGTAAATCAAGTTCAACGGAGCGGATCATCCACAATGGCTCTCAATCATGTGATCTTAGGCTGACTCCTTAGATGATGGCCTAAGGAGTCACCTTAGGAACACTTTTCCCTATGTGTGTGTGTGTATAGTGTGTGTGTGTGTGTGTGTGTGTGTATATATATATATATATATATATATACACTAGTCATGCATGCATTATAAGCGAAAGGCTCCATAATTCCTTTAGATTAAGAAAGAGTACTAACAAGGAGGAAGATAATGGATTTCTATAAGAAAGTACTCCCAGCTCAAAGATGCAGATAAAGTCAACGCGCCAACATAACAGATCTTGGATTGAATTTTGTCAGCAACAGAACTTTAAGTAGTAGCTCATTACAAATTGATGATAACTTTCGACTAATATTTGCATAAGTTGTTATAATTTATGCTAATAGCACAAAATCAAAGGCTATCTATTAATAACATGTTGCAATCTGTAACCTCATTTCAAGCTGTAGCCCAAAATTGGCTTGCATGAATTTGCATTATTGCTAATCTTTTGAAACTGATCTTAAGATAAGCTTCTGGCTTAAGTTACTCGTTTTGGGGCATAAGATACCGCCTAAACGCCCAAATCCACTTAACTTATTGTCCTACAGGTCTGGCTAAGCAACGTAAGACACACTTGAGGGAAGGTACCTTATTATTATATACACATATGATTAAGATGGATCTGATCATTCCTTAGCTACACAAGCAGGATAATAGTGTTAGAAATTTAGAATAAAAATATAACCCTCAACCCTCATAGCAACTTTAGAGTTTTGGTATATTGCCTCAACCCTCACCAGTTTTTCAGAGTTTAGGTATAATGGTAGGGTCATTTAATATGGTACCAGTTCAACCCACGTTCAAATCCCTGTGACCACGAATTTTTAAACATTTTTTTATAAAATTGATACTTCTTTGTGAGTCCATGCTTCAGCGCTTAAAAGGATGTTCAACCTACGACTGCGAGAGCATGTTAGAATATAAAAATATAACCCTCAACCCTCACGGCAACTTTAGAGTTGTGGTAGAATGACAAGGTCCTTCAACAAATACAAAAATATTAGGAAAAAAACTTGTAACCCAAAAAGATCATCTTTCTCAATAACAGATTGTATATAGCCATTTTAGACTGATATCCCTAGCATTTTGTCCACTTGGTCAACCCACGCAAAATATAAAGGACTGAAGGAGTCACTCGAGGAGAATGGACACCAGGATGCATGCTATACACAAACTAATATTGGATCCTTTATTGCTTTGGTGGACCAAGGAGAACCCGTGCACACAGGAATCTACATAACTATCCATTCAAAATTTTACTCCTCAAATTCTCCTCTTACACAATAAAAGGCGGAAATTTAAACAAGTACTTTCCTCCTCAATTTCGGTAGCAGCATTCAAATTTAGCAAGTATTGTATTAAAACTGAAAGAAATAAGAATAATTTTTCTGTGATGTCCTATATTTTAGCTATATTTGACTTGCTAGGAAGTATCTTTGAACTGTCTAACACTTGTCATATAACAGGTCAGATAATTTTAGAAGCCTATATTCAGCTCATATCAAACAAGGACACAACTTCGGACATAAAAACAATTTCCCATCCACCGTGTGTATCGTATGGCATAAAAATAATTCCACTGAAATTGGTTTTAGTGCAAACATATCAAACAAGTATAATCTATTTCTGCTCAGCTTATTGCTACTGATCCCATTTATTTGCAAGTGCTTACTTGTTTTTTTAAGGAGATTGATCATGCACCGTTCTCATTGTCAGATTTCGTTTAAACTCGAATTTCATTGCCACATTCAGTGCACCTAAGAGGTCAAGTTTCTAAACCAGTCCATGAGCTTAGTTATTTAACACAATTAAATTACTTCAATAGAAAGTTGGCCAAGTACTCAACAATTAAAATTCAAGCATTTGCAAGCAGATACCCATGTTCCACAAGAAGAAACTAACCCAACAAGAGCTCAACATTGTTTAATGTGTTTGCATCATTTAACATCGCTTCTCACCTATCGAAATAAATCTTCACTAGGCTCACAATTAAAGGTGAATATCCTGTCTGTACTCATACCCCCCTACTTTATCCTAACTGGATAAAGACACAGGTCTCATGTAGAATATTATGAATAAAGAATACAATCCCAGATCAAACTTTGGACGAGTAAAAAGTCGTAAATTGTGTTATTACTAAAGCATCTAGGCTATAAATTTTCATCAAAAATGTCCACTTAGGCTAGATGTATGCCTTCAAAAAGGGTAATTACCTTGTCTTTATCAAAGAAAATCAATCTTAATTGGATATATTTCAGGCAAAGTTGTTTCACTGACGAGTTCGAGGACAAGAAAATTTTGATGTCCAATTACAACTGAGATATGATGCAAATCTACAGCCTATTCCCTAAAGGGAGAAAAACATCTATAACATGGGTACACCCATCTTCAAGTTGTTACCCTTTCATAGAGGGAACGCACTTCTGGAACATATTCTACATTTTATTTATTACATATAACTTCATACTTGGCTGAGACTTATAACCTCTAAACCCTATTCTGATATGCATTGCAAGTAAAAATGTATGTATATTCTCTTCTATCTTCGTATAGACACTATGTAATTAACAACATTAGAAGAATGGTTTATCATACACTAGAACTAAACTACTGTACCTAAGTATGAAGAGCAAATAAGTATGATCAATATTCAGAATTACTGGACTAGTGGATTTACAATGAAACTAAAGAGTTCTTTTTTCTTTCTTAAACAACCTTGTAGTTCACTGTCTTTTCGGGAAGTAACCCCATTTACATGCCCGAGTCATGTTATACCAAACTATTATGCCACCTGTCATGTGTGTGCTGCATATTACTTAGAGGTGCAAGATCAGAGATCAAAAGATTAAATGCATTTAAATCAAACATCATATAAGGCCAAAAATTAAACTTGGTTGGAGGAGCGAGTCCTTAATACAATTCCTTGAAAGAAAAAGATTCATGTTTGACCCCAAAAGTTAGAATAAAGGCTGTGTTACGTATTTATGAGACAATAAACCTCGACGTAGCTTATTCGAAATAAACATTCAGAACAAGATATAAAACTATTCCATTATAGAACTTCCACAATATAATATTCTGCAAAAACATTGGAAAACTTATCATTCATGAACACACTCACTCCACCAAACTCTAAACTTTCCTTTTTAAGTCACATAAGGCAAGTCCTTTACCCTCATCAATTAATCTCCCTCTCCCTCAAACCTCACCCAATCTCCGGTATCAAACTCTCATTTGGTGGGGATGAACTGAATACATACATTAATTTTACCCCCACCTACAACTTGTTCCTACTCACTTAACCCTTAACAATGCAACGTCAGAATTGAATGGATGCAGATCATGTAAATTTGTAATTATTATGACACAAAAACAATTAGTTCTCGTCTAACTATACTTACTTAATTTGAAGTTTATACCTAATAAATCTCCTTGCAATACTTATCCAATCATCAACACATAAATAAGTAACATTTGGCTTTGTTCGGGACCAATTGGAACAAAGATTCAACATCGAAGGGGGGAAATGACAGCTTACTAGAGTAAAGGCTGCTCTTTTCTTGATCATCATAGATAATGGCGGCCTCAAACCCTATATCCTGAGCAATCCTCACCTTCTTCTCGAAGCTGCAATCTCCCCTCGCGATCAAAACAAACCTCGAGCTCCCTCCACCAGTTTCGTTATCGTTTCGAAGGGGAGAGCAAGCTTCAATCGGATCCGCAAGCTGAAGGGACCCGCAAATACCCGATCCAGCTTTTAGGGCTAGGGTTAGGGTTAGGCTTAGGCTTAGGGTTTGGGGGGGCCGTACCAAAGCGAGCGGGGGCGTCGAGGAAGGTGAAGGAGAAGGATTTTCCGCGGAGGTTGACGAGGGCGGCGGAGCGGGCGAAGAGGAAAAGGGAGGAGACGGCGAGGACCAGTCGTAAATTTTCCAGCGGGCTATACTTCGAGGAGCAATTCATCATCAGGACATTTTCTTCTGTGGTTGATTTTTCTGCTGCGGTGTCGTTTCAGCGACCGACAGCTTTTGGGGGGCTCTTTAATGAAATCAGAGGAAAAGGAGGGCTGGTCGATAATTGTTACTTGAGCGATGAGGAGCGAAGCAGGAGGCAAGCGTGAACAGTACACAGGTAAAGTCGTAAAGAATAAAGATGGGACCCACATACTGTCTGAAATTACATTTTTGGGTTATTTAGGGGAGGGGCACTACAGTCACACCATCAACCACACCTCCTTTCATGCTACAGTACAGCGGGTCCCATATGAAATTTTTTAAAAAATTTCATATGGAGCCCACTGTACTTTAGCATAAGAGGAGCTATGGTTGGTGGTGTGGTTGATGGTGTGCCTGTATTATTTTCCTATTTAGGGGATGTTTGAATGCTTGGTGTAAAGTTAGGTATTTCGGATAACAAATAGTAAGTTGTTATTTCAGTTGTTATGAAATAACGTGGATGTCCATTTAGTTTCCCAAGAAGTTGATATTCCCCTAGTATATTAATCTTCTTCCTAGAACAACACAATGCATGTTCTTGAAAGACTAAGTTCATGAATGAGTAATTAATATGATTCATGTATCATAATCTTAGTTTGTATATAAATATAGGTATTCCTACATCACTTTGAGATGGCAATGAAGAACGAATGAAATAAAATTTCTCTCTACTTTTCGTCTAACTTTTCTTCTCTACTTTATTAGTTTTATAACACGTTATCAGCAAGAGACTCTACCATTGAAACAATCAATTTCAAGTCCATTAAATTCATCGCTGGGCACGTGTTCATATTTTGGATAAACCTTTGAGGTAAAATTTCTCTTTCCAATTCAATTCATTTTTCACTATGACTAACCTTACAAAATAAGAATTTATCCCTCTTGATATTTCTGGAAAGAACTACTTATCTTGGATGTTAGATGTTGAAATACATCTTGCTGCAATGGGTCTTGAAAATACTATTATGGAAGAAAATGAGACATTAAATCAAGACCATGCCAAAGCTATGATTTTCTTTCGCCATCATTTGGATGAATGGTTAAAAACTGAATATCTAACTGTGAAAGATCAACTTACTATGTGGAATAATTTGAAGGAGAGATTTGACCACCTGAAGTTGGTCGTGCTTCCAGAAGCCCGGTATGACTGGCTTCACTTAAGGCTATAAGATTTTAAATCAATCAGTGAGTATAATTCTGCAATGTATAAAATTACCTCTTAATTACAATTGTGTGGAGATTATGTCACTGATGACGATATGTTAGAAAAAACATTCTCCACCTTTTATGCCTCAAATATGCTCCTGCAACAACAATATCGAGAGAGATGATTTAAGAAATACTCTGAATTGATTTCATGCATCCTTTTGGCTGAACAAAATAATGAATTATTATTGAAAAATCATGAATCTCGACCTACTGATACTAGCCCTTTCCCTGAAGCGAATGTAACTCAATCTCAAAATCATGGTCGTGGGCATGGACATGGCCGTGGAAGAGGCCGAGGACGTAGCCATTATCGTGGAGGAGGTCGTGGCAGATATGTGCCTTATAATCACAATGATCATAACTGTGGCAAAAGACAAAACAACTGCCAAAAGTAGGACAATAATGATAAGAAAAGTGAAAAAAAGAAACATTATGAGGAAATATGCTACCGGTGTGGAATAGAAGGTCATTGGTCTCGTACCTGTCGTACGGTAAAATATCTTGTTGACCTCTATCAGGCATCATTAAAAGGGAAAGGAAAAAATACTGAGATAAATTTCATTGATCAAAATAATTTTTATGATGATCTTGATGATATCACACACCTCAATGTAGCTGATTTCCTTGAGCAACCTGAAGTTACAAAATGATCTCATGACAAACACCCGACATTTTGAATTTTGTTATTTTCGCATCTTTTATGTAATTTTCTTTATGAATTTTATAATTTATGGACTTTATTGATATTTACTTTTATTTGTAATTTTCTTTGTCATTTCTTCCTGAAGAAGAAATGGATGCCAAATATTTAGGATCAAACAATGTTGATGATAATACTTGTCTCATTGATAGTGCTACTACACACACTATACTTAAAAACATAAAGTATTTTTTGATGATAATACTTGTCTCATTGATAGTGCTACTACACACACTATACTTAAAAACATAAAGTATTTTTCTCATTTGAAAATTAGTGCTACTACACACACTATACTTAAAAACATAAAGTATTTTTCTCATTTGAAAATGGAAGAAACAAATATTAACACAATAAGTGGTAGTGCTAAATTGATTGATGGCTCCTGAAGAGCCACTGTATTTCTCCCAGAATGAACTAAAATTATCATAAATAATGCACTACTCTCGATAAAATATCGAAGAAATTTGCTAAGTTTTAAAGATATCCGCCGAAATGGATATCATATCGAGACAATGAATAAGACAAATGGTGAATACTTATTGATTACAAATACCATTTCTGAGAAGAAATACGTATTAGAAAAGCTGCCTTCTCTATCTTATGGTTTATATTATAAAAAAATAAGTACAGTTGAAATCTATCACCTTATAGACCAGAAGTCTACTAATCCCAATGATTTTATGATTTGGCATGATCGTCTTGGACATCCTAGTTCTATAATGATGAGGCGAATAATTACAAATTCACATGGCCATTCATTGAAAAATCAAAAATACTAAATTCTAATGAATTCTCATGTGTTGCTTGCTCCCAAAGGAAGTTAATTGTTAGACCATCACTAACGAAAGTGGGAACTGAATCCCCTGCATTTCTAGAACGAATTCATGGTGATATATGTAGGCATGTAGATCCACCATGTGGACCATTTAGATATTTTATGGTGCTAATTGATGCATTAATAAGATGGTCACGTGTATGTTTATTATATAGTCGCAACCTGGCGTTTGCGAGATTGCTTGCTCGGATAATTAAATTACGAGTACAATTTCCTGATTATCCCATTAAGAAAATTCGTTTAGATAACGCTAGTGAATATTCATCACATGCTTTTGATGATTATTGCATATCTATTGGAATAAGTGTTGAACATCTTGTAGCTCATGTTCATACTCGAAATGATCTAGCCGAATTATTTATTAAACGGTTTTAATTAATTGCAAGACCATTATTAATGAGGTCTAAACTTCCTCTATCTACTTGGGGATATGCTATATTACATGCAACAACACTTGTGAGAATTAGGCCGACAAGTTATCATACTTACAATTAGTTCTTGGTCACGAGGCCAATATTTCTTATTTAAGAATTTTTGGTTGTGTGGTATATGTTCCTATTGCACCGCATCAACGTACTAAAATAGGCCCTCAAAGAAGATTGTGTATATATATCGGGTATGAATCACCTTCTATAATTAAATATGTTGAACCATTAACAGGTGATTTATTTACTGTAAGTTTGCAGATTGTCATTTTGATGAGTCACATTTCCTGACATTAAGGGGAGGTAAAGATCAACCGAAAAAGGAAATTACTTGGAAAATATCATTAGACTTTCTTGATCCTCGTGAAAAAGGAAATTACTTGGAAAATATCATTAGACTTTCTTGATCCTCGTACAAAAGAATATGAACTGGAAGTTCAAAGGATTATACATTTATAGAAAATTGCAAACCAATTACCGGATACTTTTAGTGATTCTAGAAGAATTACTAAATTGCATATTCCAGTAGAAAATACTCTGATTAAAATTGATATCCCAAAAGGACAAATTAAAAGTGCTAACGAATCTAAAGCACGCCTGAAGCGTGGTAGACCTCTTGGTTCTAAAGATAAGAATCCTCGAAAGAAAAGATGATCGAATGATCAAAATATTGCTAATGACAAAATTCAACCTGAAAATTTAATAAATTTTATCATTACGAGAAAGAGTTGGAACCGAAGAGAAGTAATTGTTGATAATGCATTTGCATATAATGTAGCACTTGATATTATGGAAGATGAGGAGGATCATGAACCCAGATCGGTTGATGAATGCCGGCAAAGAAATGATTGGTCAAAATGAAAAGATGCGATCCAATCTGAATTAGATTCACTGGCTAAACGAAAAGTTTTTGGATCTGTAGTCCAAACACCTAAAGGTGTAAAGCCAGTAGGATATAAATCTAAACGAAAAGTTTTTGGATCTGTAGTCCAAACACCTAAAGGTGTAAAGCCAGTAGGATATAAATGGGTTTTTGTGAGGAAAAAAATGAGAAAAATAAAATTGTGAGATATAAAGCAAGACTTGTAGCCCAAGGATTTTCACAAAGATCGGGATTTGATTATGGTGAGACATATTCTCCAGTAATGGATGGAATTACATTTAGATATCTTGTGAGTTTAGCAGTACATGAAAAACTTGATATGCGTCTGATGGACGTAGTCACTGCTTATTTATGTGGAACATTAGATAATGATATCTATATGAAAATCCCTGAAGGATTTAGTATGTCTGAAGCATGTAAATCAAATCCTAGAGAAATGTACTCCATTAAGTTGCAAAGATCTTTGTATGGACTCAAGCAATCTGGAAAAATGTGGTATAACCGTCTTAGTGAATGTTTAGTCAAAGAAGGTTATACAAATGACCCTACATGTCCATGTGTTTTCATAAAGAGGAATGTGTCAAATTTTTTGATCATTGCTGTATATGTTGATGATCTTAATCTGATTGGAACTCCTGAAGAGCTCCAAAAGGCGATTGAATATTTGAAGAAAGAATTTGAGATCAAAGATTTTGGTAAAACTAAATTTTGCATTGGTTTACAAATTGAGCATTTAGAAAATAGGATTTTTGTTCGCCAAACTGCTTATACCCAGAAGGTATTAAAACGGTTTTACATGGATAAAGCACATCCATTAAGTACTCCAATGGTTGTCAGGTCATTTGATCCTGACAAGGATCCTTTTAGACCAAAAGAAGAAGATGAAGAGATTCTTGGTCCTGAAGTACCATATCTCAGTGCAATAGGTACACTAATGTATCTTGCTAATTGTACAAGATTAGATATATCATTTTCTGTGAATTTATTAGCAAGATTTAGTTTTTCTCCTACAAAACGACATTGGAACGGTATAAAAAGCATATTTTTTGCTAT